AAAAAAAAAAAAAAAAAAAAAAAAAAAAAAAACCAGAAGGAACAGAAACCCCGACAAAAAATACAAAAAATACTATGAACGCATGTAAGGAAACAAAGCTGCATCCTTTGCCAACGGAGTGAGTAAGTCATCTGGGGGATACGCCCAAGTCGTGAAGAACGCTTCTTCCTTGGCTCCTCTCCTAACCAAGATATCAGCAACAGAATTTCCCTCTCTCCAGATGTGAAAAAACCGCACATTCCCGATCAAACTAATCTTATCCCTTATGTTCATGAGCAACCCACCCATAACATGATTAACTGCGGATGCACTTTGAATCAGCCGGAGAGCCTCTTGCGAGTCGGAGTAACAAGTGAGAGTTGTGCACCTCCGGGCCAATGCTAAATTTAACCCTTCAAGAATCGCGACCACTTCGGCAAGAGAATTGTCACCAATTCCTATATTACCTGAAATCCCCTCAATCCACGCCCCCTCATGAGTACGCAAAACAACTCCGAAGCCGGACGGGCCTGGATTGCCCAATGACGAACCATCAGTATGCAATATCATTCCTTTACAATAATAAGGGTTCCAGGTAACAGTTCTAGAAGAACTATCTCGCCTAGCCCCATCCATTAACCTGTTCGCCCGCCTCCTTGTCTCCTGCCACCATTTAAAGAAAGTTAAGATATCCCTGACAACAGTGTAAGGCGAACTAGAAGGCTTCCCAAACACCCTGTTATTACGCTCCACCCACAAGAACCACAGAGCAAACCTCAACCCCGTGGGCGCATGAACAATAAAATCGAAAGCTTGGCTGTCGAGCGGAATAGTGTGAGCCAGCCGATGAGGAAACCCGTGATAAATGAGCCCAGCCCAAACCGGAGCAGTCCACGAGCACTCAAAAAACATATGCACCCAATTCTCCATCCCATCCCCACAAATCGAACACGTTCCCGATTTTTCATAATTAAGATAAAGTTGCAAATCCCTAGTTATTTTCATAATTAAGATAAATTGAATACAAGTACTACTTTGAAATTACCATTTAATTTAGATATGGATTGCGAATTTACTCAATTAATAATAGAGGAGAATTTTGAATTAATCGAAATAATTAAACAAGGTGATAAAAAAATCATTTTTTTTTGTTCGGACAAAATAATCAAATTTTTTATTCAATTAAAACAAAAATTTATTGAAAAAATTAATTATTTATCGCAATTAATTAATAATCCAACTGAACTGACCCCTGAATTTTTGGCTAAAAACAGAACCGAATCATAAATTTCAATTCGCTTCGGTTCGGATCAATTTCGACCGAAGTGAGCAACTTCTAATTTTTTATGTCACTTAAAAAAGAGTGTTCCCAAATAGACATAGGGGAACTAGGTTTTGAAGTTCTTTTAGCTTTTTGTTATCTTGCTGAGTAAGAGAGATTGAGAGAGATGGGATTTCTGTGTATACTCGGCAACACCACCAGATCCAAATTCTTGGCCACCTCGTCTAGGATTCTCTCTTCCGCTCCTGCCATTGGCGGTACTAAGGCTTGTGTGCTGTCGCCGGCCTGCAAATTGAACAACAACGACAGCAACAGACTCATGCTTATGGTGCAGCATGTTATCAAGAGAACCCGCGATTACTCTGCTATCTCGACGGACTCTTTCCAGGTAGTAAAAGACAATCTTCCTAACTTCTCTTTCCTCAGAGCTGAAGACCACTACAGGCTCGATCCTGTCCGCGATTGTGTTGTTCTATCGAGTTGCAACATGTGGATATTGTTCACACGTGGCATATATTGTACTGATCCTCGTGACTATCTGTGGAACCCTAAGACTAACGAGATCAAAACCCTTCCTTATTTTGTGGTGCCGCCGAGCGTGCCTCGCAATCTCTATGCGATCACTACGGGTTACGGCATTGGGTTTGATTCTGCATCTCAAGACTATAAAGTGATCAGATCTCGGGTGTATGATTTAATTGGTATCGGCAATGAAGTCCATGTGGAACTCTTCTCCCTTGCAACTGGTTCATGGAAAGAAATTCCTTATCCTCATGATCCCTACATTGAACCCATTCTATACGATTCTCTTCACATCAATGGATTTTATTATTGGCTAGCTAGACGTACCCCCAAAGATGGTAGTTTCTGCATTGTCTCGTTCGACTTTGCTAATGAGAAGTTCCCTTCTGCCCTTATTCCCACTCCCCCTTCTGCACTTATCCCTCAGTGTAGCAAGAATGTGGAAAGCAGGTGTGATATTGAACTTGCCGAGTATTATGGGTCGCTTGCTGCTGTTGTCTACAATCCCGAGGAAAGGAAGCCTTGTTTCGAGATTTGGGTATGGAATAATGACATTGACGAGTGGTATTGCGAGTCTGCTTTTGATGTCCCCCCTGCTGCTGATGCTCCTGCTGATAAAATAGTGGGCCTCTGCAAAAACGACAAATTGCTTCTTCAGGACACGGAGGGTGATCTACTTCTTTACGATTGTGTGGAGGAGAAGTCGATGAATCTCGGGATCCGTGCTAATGTACGAGAAGTGGAGGTTTTCCCTTACATGGAGATCTCCGTTTATGGCTGATCCATATGTTAAAATAAAGCCTTGTTGTCGAGATTTGGGTGTGGGATGATAACATTGACGAGTGGTCTTGCGAGTCCACATTTGATGTCCCGTCTGCTGCTGCTCCTGTTGATAACAAAGTGGGCCTCTACGAAAATGACAAATTGCTTCTTGTGAAGAATGCGAAGGTGATCTACTTCTTTACGATTATTTGGAGGACAAAATCTGAAAAATCTAGGTATATGTGCTGATAGACTAAGAGTCAACATTTTCCCTTACCTGGAGAGCTCCCCTTTTGGATGATGCATACGTTATGGGATGGATGTATGGTTTGGTGACATCTTTTTGTTTTTAACTTGTGTCTTGTTATGTGACTCGTATGATTATTTGTTGTTAATAATATAACGTATGCTCATGGGATGGATGTATGGTTCGGTGACATCTTTTTGTTTTTAACTTGTGTCTTGTTATGTGACTCGTATGATTATTTGTTGTTAATTTGTATGATGTAGGGTCCTCATACATTCAAAATACAATGCCACTTCTATGGATTGAATAGAATGATATGTTGATAAGCAACTCTCCGGTGGTAAATATCTACACACCGTAAAAGTGGTAAATATCTACACACCGTAAAAGTTTATACGCGTGTTTTTTTTATTTTTGTCATTGTCAAAAAAACTTGCAGAGAAATTGAAATGTTGTGTGTTTTTTTTTTTTTTTTTTTGGTTCTAACAGAATCGCAACAATCTTGAACAAATTTTAAACCAACAAAATACTTGGTGGAGCAAATTTTGACAAAATACTATAATATCCATAATAGGATACTATGCTTCATAGGTGCGGAAGTTTCCTTGAAAAGCAAATTGACAAATAGGATACTAATTGTGTGTATATTAATTAGAGTTGTTAAAAGAAATGAATCGCTCACGAGCTCTGCCAGCTCGTTTTGTTAATGAGTTGGACTCGGCTCGGCTCTGCTTGATAAGGTCGAAAAAGTTTTTTTTTTTTATAATTTTCGATAGT